AAGCTTTTGAGAAAAATAAATTATATTTTTTATTTTTCACAAATTTTGAAACTTTGTTTTTTGGTTTTATTTTTTTGTATTCATTCTTTGGGAACTATTGTGCACCACTTCACCAATTCTTGTGACTTCAAGTTTGTGCTTGGAAGCTCTGGAATCCAAAACAAGCAGCCAAAAATAATGGTCCACCCACTGTACATACAGATTTTGTGCCTCTTGATCAATTATTCTTCTCACAAACTCTGCTTTCAGAGGTCTGATTCTGTAGGGTCTACTGATCCCAATGACAGTCCACCATTAGCTGCACACACAGAAAAAAATGCCCAGTGCAGCCATTAACTCTCCTCCTAGAATCTTGATACAGCTATAAATGAGATGGGTAACAAGGGTTTTCACATGAGTCACTCATAAGGTCTGTCCCATACATTTATATCCTCTTATTTGTTATGCAAAAATAATATGAAGCTTGAAATCAAAAACAACGAGGTCTTGGAAACACCACATGTTATTCCAGCTAATTATACAAATTTGATAAGACTATAAAGAAAGAAAAGTAAGTGGAAAGGAAATTGTTAACAATGGGAAAAAGAATATTCATCTATGATGCAAAAAAGGCTGGTGAATCAAATTCAGTGATCATCAATCCAGTGTAGTATTTGTAGTATTGGAGCAGATTAGGTAAAAGCCCCAAGCCTGTCTTGAGATCTTCACATTCAATTAACCAAGACCTGTGTCCACTTTGAAGTTGTATCATCTCACCAAGTAGGATCATTGACCACGTAATTGACGATTTTCAAGACATTCTCAGCTTTCCTTCTACTAACCTCCAGAACCTAATTTGATACGGATAAAAAGGGGGGTTAAGGTTTGCCCAATGGAAGATTGATGAAAAAAAATAAAAATAAAAAAGGTTAGGTTATGAATGCCTAAATATTTGGATCAAACTGGGAAAGTTCTACACCATACCTCATCATGATTGGCCGTCTCTTCTTTCCATTTCAGCCCCACAGAAGAGCCCTCATTTTTCAAAACCAAATCTTGCGAGACCGCTTCTGCGGCACTGCGACGGACCGTCAGAACGACTGAATTGGTAACTAGGGACAATGTAAGAACTCGTAATCCGGCATGTCGGGCTGCAATCACTTCCGGCACCGTCCTATATCAAATCAAGTGTGTGTTTTTGTTAAGAGCACAGTGGTCCAACGGCCGAGGAAAACAAACAACCACATTGGTGTAATCTTTCTTTTCTGAGAAACGAGGGATGAAATAACTGACGACATTCCGACTACATCTGCACCCATACTTCGTATAAATAAACCCTCTGCCCTGGTTTCATATGTTGGTCCTGTAACCTGTCCAAGAAAATAAGAAAAAACAAAAACAAAATTGCCTTTTAAGTGAATTCAAGTATTTATCTCTGATAGTGACTAATAGTCTTCACCCATGCATAGACTCCTTCTTGAACGTCTTGTGGTTGCAGGCCAATATGAGAAATTGATCGAAAGACTGATTTTCTCATTTCAAAATCATAAGCTGATTTTATTTGATTAGAGGTTAAGTTGTATTCAAATCCACCACAAGAATGAGTGTGTCAATAATTTTTCTGCGCCAGTGAAATCCATCTCCAAGATCAAGTTCGTAAAATGAAATCAAATCATCATACCATTAGACATCGGGGTAAACCGAGGACCAACAATGTCTGAATTAGGACCAATCAAGGGATTGTAACAGGCCTATAAAGCAAAAAGAACCCAACGCTATTTAATGGCCAGTTTTCTCCATAAAATCAAGTTACATTGGGTAGCCTTACCAAAGAGGGTAGCGAGACGTGGTCGTTAAGAGCGATGATAGTTCCTACCGGAATGCTTGGGTTAACAGCTCCTGCTGCATTGGTTACTGTGGTACATGCGAGAAAGAAAAAAGACAAAGATTAACGCCTTTGACTAGAATAGTGAGACTAAATGTACAGCACAATATATAACCTAGTTCACGAACTTATAACAGCCTGACAGCCTAATAACTTAAACAATCGGACCGTAAAAACGACGTCTTTCATTTGATAACCTCTGAATGAATTTTACTTTGACTCAGTAACTCCTTGAGAATTTGTTCCCCAATATATAGACCAGCGCTTACTCGTAGAAATGTAGCCTTGGTTCCACGACGGATTGGATTAAAGGGCCAGAAGGAAAAGGGAGCTGGTTAGCAGTATGCCACATTTTTTAATGAACTGGACATATACGAATAAGATAAAATTTACCTTCCAGATTGACAAACAACACGAGTTCCACCAAGGTTACCAAACACCAGGCCTTTAGCTTCATGTCCTTGTACGACAGAGATAGTCCGAAGTCGAGGCCATTGATCGATCTGATCGTAGCTGATCATTTCTGGCTCTTGAAGCTTGGTGGCCAGTTCGCCCAGACCGGAACCACAGACGATTCCGACCTTGGGGGCGTGGTCTGGGTTCTTGAGTAGCCCTCTGATTGACTTGTACGCAGGTCTGAGTCGGTCATCAAGGACATCGAATCCGGATAGCAAAACTTCGAAATCAGGTTCTGACATCTTGGATTCGATTGCGCCGGTGGATTCGAGGATATATACCAAATCAAACGATGATGGAATGTGTGTCCAAGAAAATACGATCTTATATGTTGTTCACGGTTTGGCTCCTGTGCGAAATTTTATAAGTTGATTCAAGCTCAGTGGGGTCCGAACTATAGATAAGATGTTAGGAAGACTCGCACCTGGTTCTCCTGAGGGGGCGATACTTATAGTTTTTCTCAGCCTTGGTTCGAGTGCTTTGTTTCTGGGGTGGTGGTGATTGGTCCGATATGGCTGTCCATCGCTCGAAAGGGTTCGTTCTTGACTTCAAACAGTCAGGGTCCGCTGACGTCATCGCTCGATCGCAGGTGACAAATTGCCTTCAATGGCTCACCAGGCTCACCTCGTCCTGCCTGGATTGGATTTCCACTCTCCAGCAACAAGCCGAAGACTTACTCGACATACACAGTCAGCTTGGCAAGCATTCTCCACTTCTGCCGGCGCCCTTCTCATGCAAGCGTCTTCGGTATGTAACACCGCACCCTTGCCTGTGGGGACTTGAACGGGCAAATCACATTCTGGCTACATCCACCGAGGCTTCCTTTGAAGACCTTATTTGGTGGTTTCATTGATCTAAAGAAGCACTGCGCACCCTCAGAGCGTAAGCGAAGCTAGTCTGCTTGATAGGATGTGTTGATCACTCTAGGCGGCATTTGCGTCAAGCATTGGACACTGCCAATTTGGTGGCTATGGCCGCAAGGGCAGTGTTTGTGTCACTCAATCACAGACATTGCATTCGCCATGGAGGGGGCTCAACATGCCCTTGATCATCTTTGTATTTTAAATCAACCTTCAAGAAACATTTTCTTCTTGAAGCCCGGAATCAAAAGACATGGAGCGGGGAGAAGCCCCGCAGGTCACTTTGAGGTTCAAGTTAAACACCGCAAAAGGAAAATTATACTAGTTTAACACAAGTACCTCCATTGGTCCGGAGGGTCGCTTGCCTCCGCGAACTCTTGAGACACCTCCGATCGAGAGCCCTGTGTTGAGCTTAAAAATTTACGCTCCTCAGGGCATGATTATCTGAGGCGTGGTGGGACAATCTGTGTCCAGTCGGTTCTACTGCACTCCGCTGGATCCCGGCCGCATAATTGGACGGGCACAATGTGTTCGAGACACCTTTCCGACCGATTCAAGTCGACAGTGTCGGGAATACCAGAATATCTTATACATATTTACCACATCTTGAGCTTTCGGCAGGGTGGTATAGGTGCATATGGGCTGTGCCGGTCGTGCCGGTTGCCGTGTGCGGCGTTGCCTCATCATCACGATACCATCTGTGATATTGTGCGGTTGGAAAAAAGCACGAATGCTTGACCTCACATCTCATTGTATGCACATGCTGACCGAAAACACCGAAAACTTCACCAAGAATACGGAATCGACGGCTAAACCATTCCCTGGTTGTAAACGTGCCGATTCAGCTGAGCTCCAATTGATCACAAAGCGAAGGATTCCGGACTCGGAGTTTCCATTCTAGCTGAGAAACGCCTTCAAGCTCAATGCGATGTGCAATCCACAGACCGTAACCTGACCATTGCCGATTTTTGTTGGAATGTTTGGATAAAACCATCTCGCAACGGGCAAGCCTGGAGTGATGAAATTGACAACTTCGCAGGAGCGCCGCCGTGCCCACCACAAAGTAAGGAAGGAATGAAGCAGGAAGCGGCATCCTCGGATTTAAAGATGGCATGAAGTGTTGGCAACACTCAAGACGTATGTATACAGGCTCATATGATCTGGAGATCGGCCGAGTTCCCCGGGGAACAAAATTCGCAGTCGGCTGCTCTTCAGCGCATGGATGGTCCTACATATGATCCTTTCTTGGACACCATTCAGCCCGACAGCCGTACTCAGCACATGCTTGGAAGGGCGGCTTGGCGGGCTTCAACACTGACGCCTGGCGGAATGTGTCTTAGAGGCTTTTTTATGTACACCCCCACCGACGTTACCAGTGACAACAGGTTAAGAACGTTTTTCTTGCGGGGATATCGGTTGGATAAAGGATTGCCGAAGGATTTCACCAGTTGATACACCGGTTTGTATATTGGAGCACAAGTCCAGCGATGAGGACCATCTGTGCATGTATTTTTCGGTACAAGTGCAACTCAATGGTCTCTCAATTGAGCACTACTGCTAGTGGCGAGTCTTTGGCGTTCAGCACCGCTTGAACAGTATCTCCATTGTCGGAACTATCGAGAGTTCAGGTGCGTATAGCATGGTTGACGAAGGCATCAGCCTTTGCCACACTGTTGTTGGGCGCGTCGTGTCCGGGAGTTGGTCAAGCATAAATAGGGGAGGACTGGCGGCCATTCTGAGCCCCCATCACCATCTCAAAGTACAATTCCAATTCCAGATCTTAAAGCGCTAAGGCCAACAAAGCTATATAACTGTTTCAAACTTATCAATATTTTCACCTGAACCATGTTCTTTCAAACCCCTTCAAGACTCCTCCTGGTTGTAGGAATCGCGTTATGTCTCTACACAGCTGAAAGCTCGGCGGAGAGTGTCTGCCACGCGTGGTGGAAGACGTTGCCTCCAGGCTCACGCACCATGACAGTCAAGTTGGTAAGTAACCGGGACGCATACCTGCTAGCAAAATCGAGGGGGCTCTGACGATTTACTCTGTCTCTGTCTTTCCCCAGATGAAACGAACTAATAATGGTCGTGTAATCAAAAGTCTAGATTTGAAGGCGCCCAAGGTCAGAAAGCTTCCCACTTTGCACTTGATAAACCGAAGAAATCTTCTAATCCTTGAATTGTTTCCAAATTTCAGGCTAAACTTTTGGGTTCAGGAGCCAATGGAGGAGTGAGTTTCCAATTTTCTGATTGGTCATGAATTTTTGAAGGAGAGCCTTTACAGTTCGTATCGCCCGACTAACAACCCCCTTTCTAGGCTTGCGGAAAACCGTACGGCATCAAAGATAAAGGCATCTGTCTTTGGGCTGGGACGAATTCAAAATCGGAGATACCTAAAGGACTCGATTCTGGTTGGGTTACCGGGTGGGTGAACGGTAGAGATCTATTGAGTAAATTGATGAAGACAAAAGAAAAAGCTTACACTTTGTCCATTTAATGACTTCTTTTCGTTTGCAGAGGGTATAAGCAAAACTGTGGCAAGAAAG